ACTATATATCTATCCCAACCTCTTTGAATACACAGATACAAAATGGACATTCATCGGTATACCCCATTTTTTCTAAGTTACATTATTGAATATTATAAGGGATGAAGATTTTAATCTGCCTTGTTCACTCATATTTCTGCTTCTTGACCAGGGCCTGGTTCACAGCAGTCAGTATCTGTTACATTGTGAATGAATGAATGAATGAATGAATGAATGAATGAATGAATGAATGAATAACAGATTTGTTTCCTCACTGTGTCTACATTGCTAGCCCTTTTTGCTGGCCATGCCAGGGAGACCATGCCCCCTCCTTGGGAGCAGAGATATGGCCTGGCATCTAAAACAGGACAGATCTGGTTTGCATTGTGACTTTTCCCTAAATCTCGTTTCTCTAGAACTGCTACTTCCCTGCACACCCTCAGTATCCCTTCCTCTGCTTTTGAGTAACAATTCTCTGATTTTCTTTGGAGGCTCATCCCATGCCCACTTTCAGTCTGCCTGGTTCAGGTGGGGCTGGCACCAGTGAAGGTGGGCCTTGTAGCCATGCCAGACTTCGAGCTTTCTTTGTTTTCTTGTTTTCAGTGCTCAAATTCAAACCCAGGGCCTTGTGCGGATGAGGAAAGCACACTTAACCACTGAGCCACATGCCAGCCTCCTCCAGGCCTCACCCCATGACTTCCTCTCTTAGAGCCTAACTCAGTGAGATCACACCACTGGACAGCTATGAGAATTCAAGGAGAGGGCATCTGTGTGAACTACCTCCGGGGCAGCAACGCAGGGCTCCTGCCTCTGGTCTTCATTCTGATGCTGTTCATACATTTTCCCCCATACCTTAAGTTTTCAGCCTGGACTCCAGGATTGGACACTGACAATTCACCCGGATGTTGTCAAAACCCCAGGAAGAGGGGTCTCACAGTCCTGGGCTAGTAATGCCCCCCCTGGGAAGCCCCCCACCCCACCATAGAATGTTTGATCAGAGGTCCTGTGTGGGACACAAGTCAGGGTGTGTAGTAGGCGCTGTTAGCAGCTCACCCATGTCGCCTGCTCCTTCTTGCACCTGCATTCAGCCTCCTGCTTGAGGAGGGCCTTTATGGGAAGGACAGGCCGGAAATGCTGGATAATCCAGGAAGAATTCTCATCACTGAGGCATGAGCTTATATATAATTGCCACAATTTCTTTACCCCTTGGATGGAACAACTTTCAGTGTGTTCTACATAGTTTCCCAGAAGTCACCAGTAGGATGGCCCCCCAGGTACCCAGAGAAGCAACCAGTCCATTAACTCACCCAAAGGTAGCTTTCTCCCCTCTCCAACTCATCCCACCCCTACTCCCCCTAATAATCACCTTCCAAATTAGCTCCTCAATTTGAATCTCTGTTATGGTCTGGGAGACCCCAGTCCAAGAGAAGCTCGTTCAGTTCTGCTCTGTGCTCAAGACAAGGGATCTGTAGAGGAGAATGTCCAGATACATGGGGACCATATCTCAGGTTCTGGGGACTTGAGCATCCAACATCCTCACACATCCTTTGACAGTGACCATTTATTGCTCATGTCTGGGCTAGGTACTCAGATTGGGGGGAGACCATTGACATAGCTGAGCACCAGGTAGGGTGTCCTGGCCAGTCGGGCATGAGAGCAGCAGGGGCCCCCTGACATGGGCAGCAGCAACGTGGCACCCACCAGGAGAAGGAAGAGGAGGAGGAGGACAAGGAGGAAGGTCCTGGGCCTCCTGGATGCAGGAGTGGGGTCCCTGAGAAGGAAAATGCAGTATCAAACATGCAAAGGGAACACTGCCATGAGCCATTTCCCACAGCCCCAGACCCGCTCTCCAAGCATCTCACCCATCATCAACCTCCAGCATCATGTCCTCGAGACTGGGAGACACTTGCCTCTTCTTGTCCTGAGGGGAGATGGCAGCCCACAGCAGAAGAGAGGGACTGTACTCCTTATAAGATTAGTCCTATCCCTCCTTTCCTGGCATTTCTGCTATCCCCAGTGCCCCACATGGACTTAGGGTATCTCCACATGTATTATGAGTCTGTTTGTGCAATCTGACCCTCCTTCTCTTTATAACACTGGTGTAATTTGGGAGGGGGCAGCAGTTAGCCTCCCTGTTCTTAGACCAGCAGGTTCATGCAAAGTTGATCCATTTCCCCTACATTTATAATTGGGCATGGGACACCGATATGGCCAATCAGAGGACACTGACTAGTGTGCACAGCCCATAGAGTTAACCCACAGAGTAAAAGGTAGCACTGGGATCTTGGCTGCTGCCCGAGGGTCAAGGGTACCCCTCCTCCCTGGAATGGGCAAACCAACAGCAAGTGAGTGTGTAGTCATGCTAACAAGGGAGCCACCTAGGGGAAGAAGAGCCCAAGAGGAGGAGGAACTGAGTACTGACGGCATTTGAGATCCTGAATTTAGCTGCACTGGCATCTTCAATTACAGGGGAAGGGCCCCTTTTTTGTGTGTTGGTCTTTAATTTGGGTTTCTGTCAAGTGCCATCAAGCACTCCCAAGTGTTGCACCTGGCTGAGGACTAGCTCACCTGAGGCTTCCGGAGCCGAGAGCGTCTTCGGTGACTTCCTAAATGTTCCCAGTGGCTGAGCCCCGACATGAGCACGTCCTATGGGGAGAGGGAGGTATTCAGTTCTTGGAGAACCTCTGACAAAGAGTAACATGGTCTCAGAAGGGCCACATAGGGGAGCATCATAAGGGTGGCATTCTTGAGAAGCAGGGATCTCACAGGAGACAGACCCAAAGAAACCAAGAGGGGGCAGACATCACTTATTCATTTGTTCAACAAATATTTAATGAGTATCTGTAACAGCCAGGCACAGTTCTAGGTCTGAGGGCACAGTGGAGATGGAAACAGACAAAATCCTGGCCTCTGTGGAATTTATGTCCTAGCCAGAGAGGCCAGAAATTAATAAATGTATCCTGCCATGCTGTGGTAAGTCAATCAGGAAATCTAGCTGGAAGATAAGGAGTGCCAACTGGGCGCCAGGGCAGATCTCTCCAAAGTGACATGTAAGGAGAGACTGAAGTGAAGTAAGCTGGCCGTGCACCTGGGGGCCCCGAGATGACAGTGCCATTGGTGTGTTTGCCATAGGGCCTCAGAGTATGGTTGTGGCCAAGAAGGGGAAGAATGAGAGGAAATGAGGTTGAAGATGCAAAGAGAGACAAATGGAAAGTGGGAGAAGTTCAATATAAGATTCCACAGAGACAGATGACAGGAGTGGGGAAGTCATGGAGGCATCAAGAGATAGAAGGAGAGACAGAGCTACCAGGACCTTGAATGACAAGGGCTCTGCCAAAAGGCACACAAACGTGCCCTGTGGTTGCCTGACTGAGTGGAGGACCCTCAAAGGGAACCGCTCTCACCTCAAGGCCTTGTCCCCTGCCCTGGGGGCCCCACTGGCCACACAGTTCACGGGGAGTCCCCAGAGCCCAGGCTGTCTTTTGCCCCAAGGGCCCCAGGTCCCCAACATCTGCTGCTGGGTCCCACTCCAACTCTGCAGGAGTGGGGAGGTTACTGGGTGCCCAGGACCCCCAGACTCCACCAGGTCCTGGCCCGTCTGAGTCTCCTTCAATCTCCAAGTCCTGGTCCAATGTGTTGGCCTTCTCGAACACCTAGGTCAGAAGGCAGAGGTCATGGGAGTTGGGGGATTGATGTCTGGGCTAGGGACCATCAGGGTGGGCCATACCAGGTCATAGCTGACTAGCTGAGCCTGCAGCTTCCAGAGCCGTCGGAAGATGGTATCGCGGTGGGCCCTGAGGGCCCTCAGGATCTGCTCCAGAGATGTCCAAGCCCTGGGCTCACTTCGCTGTGCCAACCCCTCACCAAATGCTAACAGTGCATCCACACGTTCTGCTGCCCCTCGTAGTTCTGCCTGCAAGACCTGGGACACATGGTTGGACACCATTACACACACACACACACACACACACACACACACACACACACACACCAGGGATCCACAACTTGAGTTATCCACTCCCCTGTTTCCTATGCAGAGACCTAGAACGTGCAATAAGCACACGTCCCGCCTCACTGCCCACCTGCAGCTGGGCCATCCCGCTCTGGGCCAGTGTCCATGGCCTGAGGCCTTGCTCCAGGTCCTGCAGTCGGAGGCCCAGCCCCAACAGGCAGAGCTGCAGGCTGTCATGCTCAGCCTCCAATACTTCACGGCCAGAGATGGCATGCTGAGGAATACAGGGGACCAACCAGAACAGGGCCAGTGGGTCATTCCCATTGCCACCCCTCTTCTGCTGGCTGTGGCCTTCTGGATGTTTCTCTGCAGCGGAGTCCATCCATCTCTGGCCTCCTACTTAGGGACCTCCCACTTGGAGTCTGGGGACATCTAAAAATTCAAGGACTATGGGTTTTCAAACCTTGTGGGAATTTGGGTATGTGGAACCTGGGGGCCTGGACAAGGAGGTATGATGAGGCTGGGTACCCCCCAGAAGAATGGGGCTGCACTAGGACCATTCACTAAATACTTCTTTCTCAGTTGGTGAAATACTGAAATACTTTATACAGATTGACAAAGAAATCTTTTAGAAATGTCCCTCTACCTACTGATGCCCAAAAGCCTTCCAGAATCATCCCCTCACCCGTGGGGTAGAAGCTAAATTCTGGGGGACAGAAAAGAGGAAAGGAGGTGCAAGGGTCTCACCTCCTGGAGCTTGCTGCCAGCTGGTTCCTCATGCGAAGGGGGTGCTGGTGTCCTGGGGGTGCTGGCAGCAGGCTCAGTGCCTCTCAGTGCACCCTGGAAGTACTCAGAAGGGTCCAAGGAGTCCTGGACCTGCTCTGGCCTGGAGGTAAAGGTATGGACTGGCCCCTAGGTGAGCCACTGGGGCTTATTTTCTACTCCACCCTAACCCCATCACCAAGCGATCACAGCCACAGCACCACCAATGGCCCCCACCCCACCCCACCCACACCCTCTTGGGATCAACTTACAAAAGCCCCAGTCCCCACCTGATTGTCTCCTCTGCCAGCCCAGGGCAGATGGTACTTTGGGCAACATCCAGCTCCCTAGGGGCTCCGGGGGGATGACTGAGGGGCTCTGAGGAGAGTCTAGGTGATAAGGACATAGCTGGGGACTTAGGGATCAAAGGTTAGGAAGAGGACACCCAGCAAAGCCCCTTCCCTAGTCAGTGGTATTCTTCAAACCTCCTCTGGAGACCTCAGGCAGGCTGGAGTGCCAGAGGAAAACCTGGCTCCACCCCTTCTTAGAAGAACCTGCACCCAGGTAACCTGATGCTCTGCTGAGGTGACAGCAATCACTTAACTCCTTCCTAGCAGTCCAGCAACTGAATCTTCCATCATCACCTGACTCATCCCAAGGGTTCCATATAGAAAAGCCCCACCCAGCTCAAGAGCCCCAGACTCCGTCCCTCAGTGACTCATACATCTGACCTCCAGGGCTCAGCTATTCACTTAAGGTCTCCAGCACTTTGCTTAGGAGACCAAGCACGTCCTTCACTTTACATAAAAAAAGGGGAGCTTGGTGCACACACACACACCTGGGATCCCAGCACTTGTACTTAGAAAGCTCACACTAGAGGATCCCCAACATTTCCAGGCCACCCTGAACTATATAATCAGTCCAAGACCAACATGAACTGCACAGTGAGACCCTGTTTCAAACAATCTAACACCAGTGAAAAGGAAAGATATTGTTTATTTGAAATAGGGTGGTTCCCAGTTTCTGGTAAAATAAATAACCCAGGGTAGCTGCCAGAGTTAATAAGGTCAATAAGGTTAATAAACCCAATCCCAGGGTTCCAAGGTCACAAGATCACAATCACCAAAGCCCAGAGGGGACAGAAGCCCAGATAGCCTAACAGGCCCTGAAGCCTGCTGGTCACTTCCCAAGCAAGAGACCTGCGCGTAGCACGCGTGGTACTCGGCGGATGGTCAGTGAGACGCGGGTGCTGCGCACCAAGTCAGCTCCGGGCTGTGCAGATGGGCAGGCAGCTGCATTTGCTGGCAGTGAGGTGGCATCCAGTGTGTCTACGTGGGCTGCAGCAATCCCATGCAGGAGGTGCGTGTAGGCGGTGCCACGGAGCACCAGTAGGCTGCAGGGCTCCAGCAGCAGCGAAGTGATAGGCCTGGGTGGTGGCCGGGGCTATGGGGCAGGTTGATGGTCAGTGGGTATCCAGAGATCAGGGTGGATGAAAAGTCACTAGGCTTCCAGGGACCAGAGGTCAAGGGTCAGCAAGTCCTTGGGGCAAAGGCCAAGGAAAAAGCATGCCCCTAGAGACAGAGACACTGGAGGCTGAGGAATGAAAAATCTGGATTTCCAGGCTAAGGCTACTGGGCAGGAAAGAAAAGGCTCAGCAAGCCCTCTGGAGAGGGCAGGAACAAGGCCACAGATGGGGATGTCAAAGGGTACACAAGATGTGGCAGCTGGGATAGAGATGAGCTGTCCCAGAACACCTGGGAAGAATTGGGTGGTGAGGACGTAGCTGAGGATAAGACCAGGTAAGGAAGAGGTCAGAAGGGAGGCAGTATTTGAGGTCATTAGAGGATATCTGCAGAAGTAGGCTTATCAGTGTCCAGAGCCACACAAGGCCAAAGGGACACTGAAGAGCAGGGATCTGTGTATATCGGGGTGTCAGAAAGGCTGGCACAGAGATAGTTCCTACACACTCATGTGACAAAGAACAAGGAGAATCTGGGGGTGTCCCATACTGCAGATCACATTACCAAGTGTCAGGATATCTATGTTGGAGTAGTGGGCAGAGTCAGGGTATCTGGAAGGATCCTGAGACACTCATGAGAAAACGTTGGAATAGCTGATAGCAAGAATGTCTGTGGGTATACTGGGGAGCCCTGAATCAGTATATAAACCTTGGGCTGTTGGAACACTGAGGGTATGGAGTCAAGGGGTCTCTGGGTGCCAAGGGCTTCCACACAGCAGGTAGGAACATTGCAGTATCTGTGGATATCATGGCAGTTAGAGTACCCTACAAGCAGATGAGTTAGGTGTCCAGGAGAAAATGGGTGTACATCTAAGTGTCAGGAATACCTCAAAGGCAGGTGGGATTGGGTCATCCTGGAGGATGTGGGAGCACCCCGAGGGCATGGGCAGTGTCTCGAGGCCCACCTGTTCTGTAGCATCATCGTCCTCTGGCTGCCGTGGCTTGTAGAGATCCAACATGGTGTGGGAGCCCAGGCTGATGGTGCTGACAGTTGGGTAGTACAGTGGTCCATCCTCATGGGGCTGGAGAGTGGGCACCAGGGCTGGGCAGGGCAGGAGGGTACCTCCCCACCCTCTGGGTCAAAGGAGGGGCTCCCAGGTTGGGATGGGGAGATGAGTGCTGGATGGGGTTAAGTGGCCACTCTGTGAGTGTGAGATGGGTACGCAGGATGCCTTTTCCCCTGATAGTTCAGAGGTTCTGGGAGGAGCTGGTTACTGTAGGAGCTGGGGTGAGGGTATGTAGTTACCATGATGCCCTCCCCAGGCAGATACTGGTTCACCAGGACATGGTTAGCTGGGAGATCCCCAAAAAGGCTGAGGTCAGACACTTTATCCACGTAGCGCTGAAGCCATGGGGGCAGCCGCTCAAGTACCATCCCACGGGGATGGGGGAGCCCACCTGGAGAGAACAGTGGGGTCCTGAGGATACCCCATCAAGGAGCCCTGGAGGCCCCTCAGGGATATCCTAGTGGTTAGAAGCACCCTGACCCTGAGTGATTCCCTAACTCCTTGGAGATCACCAGTGGACACTTCAAAGGTTCTCTGAGGTTTCCAGACCTTTAAACCTTGAGAGAGAACTCCCAACTCACCAGGAAATCCTTCACCTCTCAGTGGAGTCGGAGGATCTCTACTGACCCCTCAGAATACTCTTCGCTCTTGGGACCCCTTTAGCCCTCAGGGACCCCTCCTTCCAGGTGTTGAGGACTACTGGATATGAGCTCTATGTTCACATCCCAGAATCACTCATGCCCCAGCCAGAGACACTCACCCCAGTTCTGTAACTTCCTCCCAGACAGTTGCGTCCACTTTGGCTTTGGGGCATTATAAACCTGGAAGGTGGGGAAGGGATCACTCTATTTTTTTAAAGGACCATTCCTCTGTAACTCTCCTACCCAGACCAACACAAGGGACTTTGCCTGGGATAGAAATGACTTCTCAGCTGAGTTCATACCGCTCTGAGGTAGTATGTTGCTAGGATTTTCTTTTCTCTTTGGGTGGAGTTTGAGTCCAGAGCTTACAGGTGTCCACTACAGTTGACAAAAGGAATTTGGGCCGCACCATGATGGTCTGAGTCTACTCAGACCTTCGGGACAAGTCTAACCTCTTTCAGACCATAAAATACTCTGCTCTCTAATTTTCTGATTCCTGGGTTATCTAGGGACAGCCTGAGTTCTAACTGGGAACAAGAACCTTCTTGTTCCTATGGCCCAGGGGAGACAGTGTACTAAGGTGACCTATCAGTACAGCAAGGAAAATATTTTGGAAATATTCCACTGCCAAGATCCTTAGTCTCTAGCATGGGCTATCTTAGTCTAAGAAGTTTACACTCTAGTTGAAGATATCATCCTTATGGTTATTGGACTGGCCTGGGATATATGAGTCCAGGGACTCTAAAATATGTAAAATGTTTAATCCAAGTTGGGCATGGTGGCCATGCCTATTATCTCAGAACTTATGAGGCTGAGGCAGGAAGATTGCCAGGAGTTTAGGGTTGGCCTGGGCTACATAATGCATTTAAGACCAGTCTGACTTATAGAGTGAGACCCTATGTCAAGAAGAAGAAGAAGAAAAAAAAAAAAAAAAAAAAAACGCAATCCAAAAAACCCAGAGGTTTGGTATAAGTTTTCTCAGCCCAAAAGCCTACATTCTGCAGCTAACTTGCTCCTGGGACTCAAGCTCAAGTGGACTTCATAGTACAAGGAAGAGTTTACTCTGTAACATTCATTTTTGGGGTATTTCAACCTATATTTATAACTTGCTTTAAGATAGGATTTTTTCCAGGTGTGGTGGCACATGCCTGTAATCCCAACACTCTGGGAGGCTGAGGCAGGAGTACTGGGAATTTAAGCTCCACATAGGCAATTGATAAACATAGTAGGATTGGAGCAAGGCATGATGATGCATGCCTGAAATCCCAGCTACTGTGGTGGCCAAGCAGGAGGAATGCAAGTTTGAGATCAGCCTAGACAAATTTAGTAAAATCTTATATACATTTAAAAAAAAAAAAAAAAGGATTGGGGATATAACTTGGTGCTCTCTGGGTTCAATAAATAAGCAATACTGGGGAATAAAAGATAGTAGGACTGCGTCCTTGGTAGGGCATTTGCTGGGGGTGATGGCTATCTCAGTATGGGAGTATGCATTCTGTAACTTCATTCTCAAACCTCTGGCTTGCCCTGGATTATTTCTGTACAAGGAATCTGATGTAGTAACATCCTTGCTTTAGAGGTTGGTCTGGGCTACCTCAGTACAGGGAGTCTGAGTTTCATAAGTATCTCCTTTGTAAGAATCAGTGTGGTTTTCCCAAGGCCCCTTAGAAAAAGCCTTTGCTGGCAGGCCCAAGGGGCTCCTGAGAGAGGAACAGGGAGAGTGGAGGATGGATGCTATGTTACACCCTATTCTCTGCCAGGTCTTGCAGCCTTCAGGGATTTCATACAGAGGCTGGGAGTTGGAGAAAGATATGGGAAGAGGGGAAAGCAAGTTTAGAGGGGTCACCTGTCGAAGCAAATATTCCTCCTCTTCTTTGGAGATGAAGTCAGGGACATAGTAGATGACAGGTGGTGCCTGCAATGGAGATACACCTCTGAAGATGTGGGACTTGGACCCACACAGGGCAATCTACCATCACTGTGCACTCCTCCCTCTGGGGAGAGGCTAAAGATAACCTCAAATGGGACAGAGTCGGACATCAAGGGGCCCTGTGCCCATTCCAGGGTGGGGTTGAGAGTGGGGAGTGGCTCAGAGCTGGACTCTGAGGGTAAAAGTGAATTTAGAAGAGTGGACCCAGAAATCAGCCTGGTCATCCCAGCCCACCTCCCTCCCTAGCCCCCACCTTCACCCTTTGCATCCCCAGTCCTAACAACCTGGTCCACCCTGAACGGTTCCAGGGCCGGGACCCTGGCATCCTGCTCCTCCATTGACAGCAACTCCTTGCAACCAATCCTGTGGGGGAGAGGAGGATGATATAATGAAGTCATTAAGCTTCCCAAACCCTAGCCAAGATCCAGCCTTCCACCTGATCAAAGGCCAGGGCCTCACCTCTGCCCTCCTGTGAAATTTAATCCCAGAAACCCTCCAAAACCACATAATCATCCCCTCAGGCACCCTGTCCACACCCAAAGAACACCTGCCCTCTCAAGTCTAACAGAGAACATCCTCTGAACCCTCACAGGGAGGCTTTCTAAAAACTCTCAGCACTGCCCCCCGGCCCCCAAGCCCCATTAAATACCTGATAACCCACTTCAGGCCTGGAACCCTGAGCACGGCTCTCCAAAACTCAACGCCTCACTAACCCTCCTCTGACCTCAGCCCTTTGAGATGTCCCATTCTGCGCATCCGTGCGCCCCTAGGCTGTGGCTTCTTCTCAGACATGTCCACTCTCAGTCTTTTCCGAGCCTTTTACTCTGGACCCATTCAGACGGTCCTGAGCCTGACGCCTCTCAAACCTTCTTCCGTCCCCGAATCCCTCAGACCCGGATTCTGAATCCTTTAGGGTTCCACGCTGAGCCCCCTCGAACCACCACTGAGCTTCCCACGAACCCTACTCCCAGCCATTTTGGACACTCATCTCTGTCCCGATCACCCCTAAAACTGACCGTCCGCCGGTATCCCCTCCAATATCCAGATTTCAACACCTCCAACTCCCTTTCAGCCACTTCCGCCCTCACTTGATTGACGCAAGAACCTTCAAGCCAATGGAAACTCTCAGAGGTTGTAATAGTCCGCCTTCCATCCAATCGGTGCTCCAACTCAGTATTTGCCCGCCCCCTTAGCTTTCATCAAGGATGGGGGGGGAAAACCCTGGCTTCTGAGCCATTGGGGAGTTAGTGGAGGCGGGTCTTATCTGGCACAGACCAATCGGGACACCAAGCCAATCTGTCCACACTGAGGCGTGAGACGTTGGTTACAGCAGCAGAAAGCAAAGAGGGCCTGTTGGATGGACTTCCCGCAAATTAGGCCATCCAGTGCCCATGACACAGAGAGGCGGGATTGAAAAAAGGTCTTCCTTTTCATCCAAGATCCCTCGTAATCCCCGAATAATGACTTGACACAAAGAGGCCATACATCTTTATTGAAGAGGACAGGATCATGCGGATTTGGGGACATGCAGTGAAGGGGCAGTCTTGAGCTGTCCTTGGTGTTTGGGGCCCTAGGTCCGCCCTGGACTCGTGGGGCCTTCAGGTTCTCCCTCAGGCTGTTCATCTGGCCCAAGTGCAGTGAGGAGCCACTGACTGAGATTTAGTGTTTTAGACCTGTGACCAGAAGGTAGATTGAAATGGAGGCTCCAACGCTTGGGGTCCCCTCAGGGTTTTAGGGACCCTCCATGTACTAGAGATGGAAGCTTTAAGATTTGGGGTTCCCTGGGGAGGGGGCTCTTGGGATTTGGGTTTCTTGAGGTCCGTTAGGTCAGCACTTAAGTCCTCTAATTTCCAGGAATGGAATATCTGCTTGGGGTCTCCTGGCGCCTGTTGAAAAGGGCTTCAGGTTCTCTGGGAGTATGGAATACATACCCTGACTGCAGTAGCCTCTATCCCAAGCACAGGGACCTAATGATTTGGGTTTTCTGGGGGTTGGGAATTGGGGATTTTTAAGTTTGGGATTCCCTGGGGATTTGGGGATTCCATGATTTTGGGGTCCTGGGAGTTAAAAGTTTTGAAGTCTTCTAGGGGCTGTAGAATTTGAGGGCACAGGGGAAGTTGAGGACATATATACTCTGGGGCATGGGATCCCCAGAGCCCCAGAATGGGGTCTCCAAATTTGGGGCTCCCCGAAAGGGAAGTCCTTACTTTAAAAAATAGAAAATTTTCTGGGAGTCTGGCCAGCACAGGGTCTGTGGGCCATGTGGGGTGAGTTCATACAAGGCACTGGGGGTTTCTTGAGGGTGCAGAGGGTAGGAAGAGTTGGGGCCCTGTAATTAACACTTCCAGGACTATTTTGGTGTCTAAATTGAGGGTGACAGTGGGCTGATTAAGGTGGGTCTCTTCTTGAGGGATAAAAACAAGGTCTCTATTAATGGAGGGAGTCTCTGATGGGGGTCTGGAATGTTAGGGATTTGGGGTGACTATGGGGTAATAACATCTTGAGAGCACTGGAGTTAAACAGAGATAGTAACATGGTCTGCTACTCTGGAGCTGTTACCTATGTTTATTTCAAGGGGAAGGGGAGAAAGGGGTCTTTGTTAATGGTAGAGTTCTGATCCTCACTGGTGAGTGACTCAAGAACGTCCTGTTGGAGAGCACTGTGTGGAGAGGATCACCATCATTTTGGGTGATACGGAAATCTGTTAATTGGAGGTCCGTTCTGAGGGGCTGGGGACAGGGACTAACCTGAAGTTGCTACTCAGGGAATTTCTTTCTAGGTGACATGAGGTCTGTACTGGGGGGTTATTATGGGGATCTGTTAATAATGGGACCTCAGTGATTGAGGGCTGGCTAATGGGGGTCTCTATTCTGGAAGTGTTACTGGGAATTTCTATCTCGGGTGACTGGGAGCTCCTTGTGTCAGGAGATGCTAGAGGGGAGTCTTGTATCTGTCTGGGATCCAGGGCCTTTAAGACTGCATTTCTGCCCTCAACATCCAGGGAAACCAGCAGCAGAAGAGCAACCTGAAATGAGAACCAAATCACAGTGATGAGCATGTAAGGACATCTGGCCCTACCACCCTTTCTCCACTGTCCCTCCATGTTTGGGATTCTGCCTCTGACTGCTCTTCTAGGCTTTAAAGAACAGCGATGTTCTGCTTCCTTTACCTGCTCCCTACAAGCTCAAGTCACCAGAAGTCAGTGTCGGGTGCTTCACTCTAATGACTGCTTCCAGATGTGCTTACTGGTCACAACTTTTCCTGTCTTCTATTTCTAGCCCCTACTTGAGCTCCAGACCTCCAAGTCCAACAGCTCTGTGAATGCTGCTTCTTAAACATTCTGTAGGAAAAGGGTAAAGGAGTTGGTCACATACCTGGAGATAGAGTTCTCTGATGCAATGTCCTTTGGGGTCCGGACTGTTGTGAAGGTACGTTTAGGTTGTGTCACTGCAGAGAACAGGATGGCATGTGAGGGGATAGCAGACCCACCTATCTCCTTACTACCCACCCAGACTCTTTGTCACTTATATTTATCCATGCTCCTCTTTGGGACCCTGCATTATCATTTTCCTAGATCTTCTGCCCCCACCTAAGTATCAGAGACTGTCACCAACATATATCTGAGAACCCATGTCCTCTCTCCTTATGCCCAGACCAATGGGAGTCTACATGAGAGGTAACAGTGGGCCAATTAAGGTGAGTCTCTCTCCGTCTCTCTCTCTCTGTCTGTCCATCTGTCTGTCTGTCTGTCTGTCTGTCTCTCTCTCTCTCTCTCTCTCTAGTCTCACTATGCAGTTCAGGCTGGCCTTGGACTCACTTTGTAGCCCAGGCTGGCCTTGAACTCCCATCAATTCTCCTGACTCACCCTTCCAAATGCTGGGATTATAGGCATGTGTCACCACACCTGGCCAAGGTGGGTCTATTCTTGAGGAGTAAGAACAAGGTCTCTGTTAATGGAGGGAGTCTCTAATGGAGTCTGGAATGTAAGGGCTTTGGGGTGACCAGGAGGTCACAACATCTTGAGAGCAATGGAGTTAAACAGAGATAGTGACATGGTCTGCTGCTCTGGAACTGTTATCTATGTTTATTTCAATGGGAACGGGAGAAAGGGTCTTTGTTAACTCTTCCCCACTTCCCAGCCCCCAACTCACTTGTCACTTGATGCACTTTTTTGGCTCCAACACTGTCCCCAGGGGGATCAGTAGATCCACCAATCCTGTGAAGACAGGAGTGGGAAATGTCAGAACTGTAAGCAGCCAGGTCTGGCTGGGCACTGAGCCCTAGGGGATCTAGAGGAAAGAGGTTGGGTAGGGCCGGGGCAGCCACACTGTCTTGCTGCATAACAGAAGGAGCCTGAGCCTGGCCTGGAGCTCTGGGTGGCTCCTTGGTTTGGGGGTCAGAGTTTGGGCTCACCTTTGAATTCGGGATGCCGGTGCAAAGACCCCATGCCGAGGGGGGCAGGTGAAGTATCGGACACCAAAGACGGAGCCATCATGCTTGCCTGTGGGCTGGTCCAGCTCAATGCCATACCAGTACCCTGTAGCAAGAGGGTATCAGGATGTCTCGAGGCCCTGTCTGCCCACCAGCCCAGAGTCCCCATCCTCACCAGGAGCAAAGTCTGTCTTCCCGTAAAAGCGCACAATCCCCTGCTTCTGGCCAGCCACAAGGACTTGGTCTCCAACCTCTGCCTTGGCCCCTTCACGCTGCTGTAGGCTGCCCAGAGATGGTGACGATGGGGACTTCTTCTTGCCTGGCAACAGAAGGTAAAGAGGTAAGACCCCAGATGCCAATCTGAGGACTTGTGCCACTTGGTCCTGGCTCCAATCAGAGAAACTCCAGAGCCTTCCCCAGAGCTTGTTATAACCTGTGCAACTGATTCCAATTTTGTGACTCTGTATGTTTCCACAGTAACTTTATGAACAAGGACTATTTGGTATACGCTGACAACCTAAACTCCATCTTGTAACAAGCTTTGTAACTTCCATTTTGTAAAACCTTGATTTGTTTTGTAACCCCCCCCCACCCGTGCCTTCCCTGAAGAATGTGACTATTTAAAGAAAGTGTTTCTCAGCACTCCGAGAGAAGATAAGAAATGTCCTCAACATTCTGCAAAATGAGAATGTTACAAGAACAAACAGGGGCTGGAGAGATGGCTCAGTGGTCTAAAGC